CTTTAACATTGAGAGCTTTTCCAGGTTGTGGTCAAAGAGGGAGATGTGTTCACCACAGACTGTAGACGGCCATGTTTGCTACAGAAGTGTGTTAATTTTCTATTACTGATGTAACAAATGACCACAAGTGCTCTTGGAAGGTTAGTGGAAGGCAAGGACTGGCATCTCTAATACACTATACAGGTAAGGATGAGTAGTGAAGATGTGACTCAAAGCCCGAGAAGGACAGACTAGCATCTCTGTAAGAGATCCACCTCGTCCCCTTTTCATGGGCCAATAATTTACTGACAATCAAGAAATAATATTGTAACTGGCAGAAAAAGCTCCCAGTGCAAATTCTTCATTTTTTGGGACAATCACTGGCAAAATGGGAAGACTAATATTATTGTAAAGGTTGTTAGAAAAATTGTAACATTTCATGTATAAATAACAGTCTTAAAGCATTTTGGGGATGGGGTAAAATTAAGAGGGAGAGGGACTTTAGTAGCAATAGAACTTGAGAATGAAATAGCTATAGAAATAATCTATAGAATATTACAATAAATAGAATAAATTTTAAGTTCCTAGAGGAATTTTTGAAAAATACCACATTCAAAGCCATGAATTTTTTCTCAATTAGCATATTTCCTACCTTTTGATTTTGTACTGAAGCCCAAAGAAGGAATGAAATGCTTGTTGGACTGGCTGTGGCTGTGAAGCCTGAATTCTGCCATAAAGAGCATGTGTGAGAGAGCAAATGTTTGTGTACTCTTATGTGAAGGAGTTGGGAAAACAATCTAAGAAGCCCAATCCAAAAGCAAAGATGTTCCATCCAGTCTTCTCTGTAAGAGCCAAACTATAAACCATCTGAGTGTTCCAAAAGTGTTTTGATGATGTGTTGATGTATTTTAAATTATCCTGAAAATGTTCTTGGCAGATGCTTAAACGTGTAATTACTGAGATGATGTAGAAATGCAAAGTGTTTATTAAAACAATACAGAGTAATACAAATAGTATGGTTGTTGCAATATAAAACTATCTAAAAACCAAAGAGTTCTTTAATGGTGGAGAGTTTTTTCCTTTTTGAAGTTAAAACATAAATTTTTGTGAAAAACACAAATGATTACTATTTATACCTAACATTTATGGAGTGCTGACTATGCTAGCTTTTGAGCATACATTGCCTCATTTAGTGCAATGTTTAGCATTAACTTATGAGGTAAATACCATTGCTGTGCACATTGTACAGATGAAGACACTGAGGTTTAGAGAGATTGCATAAATTTCCCAACGTAACACAGCAAGTGGTGGGGTCAGGATTCGAGGAAGCCTAACTCTGGAGTTTAACAACCGAAAGAATAATAATAACTAATATCCTTGTCACTCTCAGCATGTGCCAGTTGCTGTTCCAAATGGTTCAAATTATGTATTCATGTAAACCTCAGAATAACTCTATGAGGTATGTTCTAATATTATTTTCATTTTATAGACATATATTTTGTATGTGTATGTCAACCTTAAAGCCACTTTTGAGTTTTTTAGCATATGTTTTGAGAACATGTCAACTTTATTTCCATTTAAATTGCTTGAGACACAGCATCATTGTTTATATAGTCACTGGAAATTTTATTCCCAGCTGTGTATCTCCCTGGAGTCTTTGACTCACTCCCATGTGGGGAGGAGGTGCTTTGCATCTGGACACACCTGCCATCCTGGAGCCTCCCCACCCTCATCCTGGGAATCCCTTCCCTCTCCCCAGGGTGAGAGCATCAACTTGTCAGGTATCACATTTTTCTTTGAATTAATTATCAGTTTGGGGGAACTTCATTAGTTATCTTCTGGAGAAAAGGTACACCAAGGCATACATTTATTGAGCTCTTTTATGTTTCTATTGGATTTCTATTCTGCTGGGATGATTTTCAATTCTCAATTGCCCTCTTCGGCCCCGGAGTGTTGGCAGCGGGGCATGTGTCTTCTAAACAGAAACTTCCTAAATCATCTCTTGAAAAATCTGACCAGCCCAAGAGAAAATACCCATCCTTACTGACTTTATATTCCCCAGCAATTAATCCCACCAGATAGCTCTGTAGTGAATCTCACATGACACAGATGCCACCCATGTTTCAGAGCTTCCCAATAGCTCATTGGTGCCCCATCCTGCAACAGAAGACAACCAAGATCATTAGATATGTGGAGTGATTCTAGCTTTGTAATAGGAAAGATAGAAACATAGCAAAGAAAATAGAAGTTGGAAGAAATAATCCATGAAGTGAAAAAATACAAAATCTTTTAAAAAGCTATTAATATTTGCAAAGAGAAAAGATATGATATACATGAAAGAAGACTATAATATCATAAAAATCTCTTGAGAATTGAGGCCAGGTGCGGTGACTCACGCCTGTAATCCCAGCACTTTGGGAGGCCAAGGTGAGCAGATCACAAGGTCAGGAGATCGAGACCATCCCGGCTAACACGGTGAAACCCCGTCTCTACTAAAAATACAAAAAACAATTAGCCCGGTATGATGGCGGGCGCCTGTAGACCCAGCTACTCCGGAGGCTGAGGCCGGAAAATGGCATGAACCCGGGAGGCGGAGCTTGCAGTGAGCCGAGATCGCGCCACTGCACTCCAGCCTGGGCGACAGAGTGAGACTCCATCTCTGAAAAGAAAAAAAGAAGAAAAGAAAAAATCCAATTATAAGCCACTTGGGAGATAAAAGGCAAAATCCAGGACTACCCAGGTAACTCCAAAAGCTTGTTCGCTTTAATCTTGCAAGTCCGATAGCCAAAAATCTATTTGACCTTATAATAATTTCATGTTTAATAGCGCTAAAAGTTTTCTATTAAGGCCTATGAGAATTTTCTTATATCCAGACTTGTATATTTGCCATTGATAATCCTAGGTTTCTGAATGATCCAGTAAGAAAAACATTTCTATGACTCTATAAGAAATATCATCCCAAGGCTTTAGAGGTGGCTGTGATAGTTTATATTATTTTGACGTTTATTTCGTCAGAAATATTTTTAAGTAATTAAAATCTCAGTTACAGTACCTTTAAATTATTTCACAATTACATATACATGTTGGCAGCTTGAATCTTTCATTACTGTTTCTTTATAAGGTAAAAAAGTAATACAATCATAAATCTCATCATAACTGACAATGTTGATGTGAAGCTCCTACAAATGATTAAAGAATGTGATTGACATTCTTGAAGAAATTGTTAAAGAAAGTTGATTGTCCTGCCTCTATTCAAGACTTTCAAAAATAGTATGTAAAGAAATTACATAATTTTGTTCAAAACAGTTATGGTTCAAAAGTTAACTTTATTTCTTCAACTCTTCAGAACCAGGTTTCTGAGGGGAACAGCCTGTTTCACACATTTCTATGTCTCCCTGCTCATATGAACCTATATACTAATAAATAGGAATTTTAATTTGTTTTGTTTTGTCTTCCACAAAAATTGGAAGAAAAAAATTATAAAAAACCTTGCTTTTTATACTTTCTGATGCATCATAGTAATTTCTCCAGATTTTTAGATACAATTTTTTTTTTTTGAAATGAGGACTTGCTTTGTTGTTGCCCAAGCTGTAGTGCAATGGTGCCATCATGGCTCACTGCAACCAGTGCCTCCTGGACTCCAGCGATCCTCCCACCTCAGCCTCCCAAGTAACTGGGACTACAGTTGTGTGCCACTATGCCTGGCTAATTTTTGTGTTTTTTTGTAGAGACAGGTTTTTGCCATGTTGCCCAGGCTGGTCTCGAACTCCTGAGTTCAAGTGATCCACCTGCCTTGGCCTCCCAAAGCACTGGGGTTACAGGTTTGAGCCACCATGCCCAGTCCCCTATTTTTTTTTTTTTTATAAGATCAACTCACCATTCAAAATAGGGAGTTATCATCATTCTTTATTCTGTCAATCAGTCAGACAGTTTAAAAATTTTTGTTTCTTCTGCAAGTAAGGCTGTAGCTAATGGCCTTGTTTCTATATTCTTATACACAATTATAATTACAGAGTTGATTCTCAAGTGTGATATTGCTTGGGCTATGCATGTTTAAAATTTTAATAAAAATCACAAATTGTTTGTCAGAAACCTATGACAATGCACATTTCTACCAACCATGTAAGCTAATAGGTAAGCAGTAATATCTCATTTTGCTTTATATTTTCTTGACCACTACCAAGGCTCAGTGCCATTTAATATGCTATTTTGCCATTTTAATTTCCTCCTCCATGAATTTCCATCATTGTTCATTTTCCTCTTCGGTTGTCTATTTTTAAATGAAAAAGCACCAGGATTTTAGAAATATCTTTTTTTTTGGGTCAGTCATATATATGAAAACATTTTTTCCTTGTCTATATTTTTAAATTATTTTTTAATACCAGAATTTGAAATTTTTCTCCATGCTCAGAATTTCATTTTAAATACATTCATGATATTATTGAAGTCAACCCCAGACTTTATTTGTTTTCATATATCATGAGAAGTCAAAGAATTGAAGCAATATATTCTCACAACCATGCACATTTTCTCCCTGTCTTCTTCATTCCTGTGTCTGTCACTCTCATAATCTTGTTTCAGCACCTATGAAGGCACTTCTGTGCAATACTTGGTTACAGACCTAGCCAATAATTTCTACACTGGAATATATATACATATTTTATGTAGGTGTTTGTGCCATTTCTCAGTTACCAATTTTACATTCTGAGTTCACAGCATTTGCCACCCCATCTCTGCACTTAAAGCCACCATATGGCTTTTAATTACTTTATACGCATTTTCAGTCATCATCTAAATAATCGTTTATAGCCATAAACTAATACTGTTTAGTCAAAGTAGTACTTTCGTGAGGAAAAATTACAGATTTCTTGAACATGATTCCAGGAATAGTTCAGTTTTTACAATTAGTAATTGAGCCTTTGCCATATGAAGCAAGAAATCTGCTCTTATTTTTAAAAATCAATTGTACATCAACCATAAAGAAATAGTATAAAAGCCATAAAAACACTACCCTTTACTGCAGTAAAATGTGGGACATTTTATTTGAGTTCCCAAGAAATTTCTTGTATTTAGAACTCTTGGACCTTCACTATTTGTAAATATGAGTCTATCCTTTACCTTACCATAGCTTTTACCCTAGGGATTTGGTACATTTTATTTAAAAAAGGAAAATGCCAACAGTGAAAATTGAGATAGAAGTAGGAGACTTCAAGCACAGTGGCCCAGCAGGTGTGTGTTCAGGGCAAGTGAAGGTTCCCCCCCACTGGATTCAATGACTAAAGATTATGAAGATACCAAAAATGCAAGAAGTCACAGGAAATATTTTTCCTCAATGGCAAAGATGACACAGTAGAATGGTTAAGAAGGACGGTTTATTGGCTTCAATTCCCCAGCTGATGTTCAACACTTTATTTAATTCTCACTTGAATTTTAAATTTTTGCTTGAAAAATAATTTCCCATCAATTTCCATTTCTTTAGAAAGCCCCTATGTGTAATTTATTGAATACATCTCTGAAGAGCAGAATTATGATATTTCCCAGCTGTTGCTCCAGATCATGTAGGGCAGAGGAGGATGAAGACTGCTACAAGGGAAGACATCTGTATTGCCTCAAAACGTCAGGACGGTACGGATACTGCAATAGGAAAGAAGAGACTTGTTAACATTTAGACAACCCACATGCTTCCACGTGAGAGTCCAAGGAGCATCTGAGTTGTCTTAGTGAAAATCCGTCTGTGATCCCAGCTACGCTATTTCCATCCCCATACATTTGGTTCAAGTCAAAGGAAGTTCATCTTTTCTGGTTTTCTCTTTTTTTTAATTTTTTTATTTTTATTTTTTTCTCCAATCTTAATCTCACTCACAACATCCTGAATATGCCTGTCATTTAGACTTCAATACTACATTAGCATCTTCAAAAAATCATTTTTGCATGCCCACATCCCTAGTATGATAAGGAATATAAAACAACGCTAGATAATAACTTGCAGTAAGTTCTTACTATTTGTCACATTCTTTGTGCATTTTCTTAAACTTCAACCTAAACATCAACACTAGGAGGTAGGTTTCCATATTATTTCTGTTTTAGAGATTATAAAAACTGAGACTTAGAAAGATTTGTAACTTGCTCTGGTAGCACATCTTGTATGGAGTGTTGGGATTCAAACCCAAATACTAATTTACAAAAATGATAAGATGATGGATAACTTGCCTGAAAGAACTGATAATTTAACAAAGACCATGCTGGAAATTTAAAAGACCTTTGATATAGAGATGTTTAAAGATTCTTAGAAGTAGAGAATAAAGTCGATTTGTATTTATTCTAAGATTCTTCATTCTTGTGAAGACTACAAATGGAACATTTACACTAGAACTAATGCTTCTTCTATAAACCAACTTCTCATGAGTAAATATTTTTAGAAAATGATGGTCTTTGTGACTCTTTAATAATTTTAATTTTTAACATATATATGTATATGCAGATGCAGAGATGAGAAAAATATATGCACGTAATTCAGAGAATGCAACACAGCAGAAAGAAGAAAGTAAAAGTAATCCACAATTTCCCAACATAGAAATAATAATTCTTAATGCTTTCCTGAATTTCTATGAACTTTTTCTAGAAATATGTGCATGTTTTACTGTTTTTGATGAAAATTTGAGACATTGCATATACAATATATACAATTTATATTCTTCATTAAATGAGCCTAAAATTACATCATGAGAATTTCCCAATGAAGTCATTTCTTTTTGGCGGTTTCATTCATTTCTAATAGATGACTGGAATTTACGAATTTATTTTCCTTGTGTTGAACTTTAGAATGTTTCTAAAGTTCTAACGAGTAAACATATATGTATGTTTGAATAGTTGATTATTTCTGTAGAATAGATTTCTAGAAATGGAATTGCTGGGGCAAATGATTCAGTTATTTTTTTAAGGGTTTCTGATACATATTACCAAATTACTTTTCCAGAAGTATGTATCAATTACTACTGAAAGTACATGAAAGTGCCCAACTCACCTTATTCTTACCAATATTCAATATTACAATTTTAAATCTTTGATTATTGATGGGATTAATTATATTTACATATGCATATTACTATATGACATTCTCATAAAATGAATTTAGGCATGCTTCATGACTTCTTATGTTGCTCAACACTGTCCTCTGGTTTTGTTCATCTCTATATTTGCCATCATCTTTTCAATCTTATGATGATGATCCCGATGATGATGTCAATGGTAATATAATGACAATGATAACTAACCTTTGATGACTACTGTTTTCCATATGTACACGAGCTTTTGAGGGACAGTGTGGTTCAGTAGAAAGTGAATAGATTTGCTAATAACAAGATATACTTTTGAATCCTGGCTCCCCTTACTACCACTTGATGATTTTGGCAAAGTCATGTCTTTTCCGTGTCTCAGTTTCTCTTCTCTAAGATAGTGAGATAGAGACTGACACTGAGCACTGTTTGGAAATCACATGAGATAATGCAGGTAAGATACTTAGTAGAACAGCCGGTGCTCTGTGAGTGCCAGTTTCCTTCCTTCCTCAAGAATGTTGTCAGTTAAAGTGTCTAGTATAATGATTGTGTGAATGCCAAAGAAATACTATTTAAAGTTGAAAATCTCATGAAAATAAGTATGGGATAGCAGAAAAATCTCAGACTCTGGACTAGAAGACAAAGGTTAGATATAACTGCCTGTTTCCAGTTGTGCCTCATGTAAATGCAGGTGACAAAATGCATTTTATTAGCTGGTTGTAACTGTTAAATGTTAGAGATAGGAAATAGAATTGGCTTGTTTTTCTAAGCTTCAGAGAAAATGTACGACAAACATTTAAAATAGTGCTTAGTACTCTTCTCTTTTATGATAACTTATATTGGTAAAAAAAAGTTTTCTTAAACTACAAAAGAAAAAGAGAAAAACTAGTATCATCTACCTAGAAAACAATCCCAATGTAGTTCCACCTACTCCTGCAGTGAAAATGTCAAGGACGTCCTGAAAATTATTTAAATATGCAGACACTTAGTGTCAGCTTTATAAAGGTAGAAGGATGAGGATTCAAAGTCACCATGTTATAATTATGGTAGTTTAAATAGACTTGTTTTGTGTGGGTTTTTTTTTTTTTTTTTTTTTTTTTTTTTTGGCAAATGTGAGTGTTCTCTTTTAAGGAAGGCTAAGTGGCTCAGATCATTCAGATTTGCAGTAATCAACATAATTTAACTTCAGCAGAATAGGAAATGCAAAGCAACTGGTTTTAGCTTCTCACAGTATGATCCTACAAGCGCTCCATGCAAAGACTGAACAGGTAATGGAAAACCAAGGGACTCTATTTTTTCTCATCCTTTCACCTTTTTCATTCTCTGCTAGACAATCCCCTGTAGTAGAAAAAAAAGCAAAACAGAAAACTAACTTAAACTCTACCTTTTCCCAGAGCGAAGCAGGTCAAAGCCTTCATTTATTTTTTCAAAAGGTAAAACATGGGTTATTAATGCATCCAGTGAAAACTTCTTAGCCATAAAATCAGCCACAAGTTTTGGGTTACCTTCTTTACCCTTTAAGCCTGAAAAGAAGACAGTATCATTGTTGGATTCGACCAGGGTCAGTAGAAGAATTGAAGAGATTTTCCAAATAAATGAAAATTTAGAAAAGGTGCTTCATTCCGGACTGCTATAAATGAGAATAAGAAGAGATGGAGTACTTCAATATGCTTTTACAGTGCCTTGACTTAAAAAAAAATCACAGATAAACAAAGTTTCTTATTTTGTCTCTCACATAGAAATAATAGTACAGATGTTTATGCCCAAAATTGAGGAGCAAATTTATTGGTTGTCTAAATTTGGGCGTAGATATGAAATATTGTTGTAGATTTCCATGTTCTACTAAAAATGTCCATGCCTTACACAGTCACAAGTACAAAAACAGATGGAGATGAAAGATCCTAGGTTATGGTGACAACAGAAAAGTTTATATTGGGACCTTCTGTCTGCATCAGTTCCATATCTAGTTGATTTGGAGACTGTAGATAGAAAAGGAATTTAAATTTATTTTTGATTTGTTTTCAAAACCGTGCCTTGTCAATTGTAGAAGTGGAGATATATTGATGTTAATGAGAATTTGGCACTTGAGCCCAACTACATACCACCATAAACAGCCCCCTTCCAGGTGCGTCCAGTCAGTAGCAGCATAGGGTTTATTGAGAGGTTCTGGGAATCAGGAGGTACCCCTACGATGACGCTTGTGCCACATGCCTCATGACAACATAACAGGGAAGCCATCTGGAATAAAGTGAATATTT